CTTGTTTCCCGCTCCAGATTGGGGTTCAAGGTTTCCCCTACGGTGCTAGAAACAACATGCGGCGCGCAAACGACACATGCGGTTTCCAGGGGTATCGGGCCCGCTGCCAGGCCGCAGGCATCCGCTGGCTGGTTTTAGCATTTTCTGTTTCGAAATTCTTTGCCTAGAGTCTACCCCCCTAAACCTGACAGGCCAGAAAGCAAGAAGGACTTGATGTCATTGATCAAAACCTGGCAACCCGCAAATGCTCCCCACATTCCCTACACCTTAGACCTTGCCCCAAGACATGGGAAGCACAACGCTAAAACCTAAATCCGAAGCCCCAACCATCCTAACTCAAAAAGCGACAAGAGTTCCCCTTATCCTACACATTTCAACCCCCCGTCTTCGAGGAAAAAAAGCCCGCTTCATGATTTGACCTGGGTCTTCCAGCCAACGCACATCGTGATCCCAAATCAGAGCCCTGAAGCGCCAAGACCTCGAACTCTTATCCACCCCACAGCAAAGATAGAAGGCCTAACAGGCATCTGCAGCGGCTCATAGGTTTCCATGTCCATCTGGAGAGGACGGCCCTGAAAACCTTAAACCCCGAATTCTAAAACCATTTAATAAAGCCTTTAGATCCCCTGAACCCCTGAACCCCGCTGGTCAACCCTGAGCCAAGAGGCTCATGGCCGAGTTGTTTTTGTCGCAGATCTCGAACTCGTCCTCGCGCAGTGGTCGGCTTCTGAAGGTTTTGGGTTTAATGGCAGAGCTCCAGCGTTGAGTAAAGGATTCGAAAGTGTAGAGTTCAAAGACGTTAGCCTCGAACCTTACAGCCCTACATCCTCAAATTCAACCCCCAAATCTCTCATCCTCCCTACACCTTGACTCATTGACGCCCCACTTTCCCAAAAAACTCTGGGCCTGGAGCCCCAAAGCCGGTTGGCCGCAGTGATTCCTAGGCGAGCGTGAAGTTGGTTGCCGTTAAGGAACTTAGTCTAAGTTACGAGATTATGGGTATCATATAGGGTTTAGGGTTAAGGGCTACCATAAATGTGAGCATACATACTAGGCTCTCCTTATTATCGAAACTTAGCTTGCGTTGCAATCCAGTAAATGGTTTCAGAGGGGGGCGTAAATGGGAGCTTGGAGGATATTAAACAGGGGAGTTGCTTCCCTTGGAAAATTGGAGGAGTGTATATGAACTTGAAGGAGCATGTCAGCATTCATGCTGTCATGCTCAGGGTCTGGAGCTTAGCGGTTGGAGGAGAACATAATCCTTCCTGGATAGTCCTATGAAACGGGCCGTTGATTTTGGGCTTTGCAGCATTCACCGTACATATTTCAGGGGCCCCATCTGTCCGCTGAAATCTTGAAGTTACAGTTCAGCATGCAGTTTGCTGGACTAAGGCCATTCTGGCTATGGCAGTCTTGGAGAATCGCTTCAAGGCCAAGTCTACGATGCCATTACGGCGGAAAACCTTACTTCGCGGAGTTTAGGCGCAACTCCTGTGACTGGGTCATGCGCATGATGAAGGAACCAATAAAATAGCCGCTGTCCAGCGAGCAAGAACAAGTTGAAAACAAGCAGCAAAGTGCACGGAGCCTGCATCTAGAACTGCAGCCATTCCAAACCCGTTCTTGCATCGCGGAGCTGAAACGACAAACCCTGAACAACACGAAGGTGGCGTAGGCATAGCAATTTGAAGATGACCTGCGCGACTCTGCGCGACTCTGCACGACTCCGGCTTAGATGCTTTCCGGTTGGCAAGTTGAGCCCTATTTCGCTCGACATCGAGGCAAACTAACACCGCATTTACCACAAAGCAATAATGCCATCCAATCAGAACCTTGCTCCCCAAGCCTTGAATCCACGCAACCACCCACTCTTCCCCCAGATCTATGCTTCATGCGCGGCCGAAGTACGGACTCTGCACTTGGTCTCGATGGCGCGTCCTGGCGAACCGCGAATCATGTCCCTGGGGGAAGCGGGGAACTTCGGACACGCACCCATTGGTACCCGTCCATTGTCTGATCCTGATTAAGCCTCCATGTACCTGGGACCACCACTATAAAGGGCCAGAAGGTGAAAGACTAAGCACCTGCGCTTGAGGCTCCAGAACACTCAGAAAGTTAAGAAAAAATGCTAAATCTCGTTCGAAACACTATTCGTGAGAAGGGCAAACTATGACCAGACTCTAGTGTCTCAACAACTCACTCTTCTTGGGGCCCTGCTTCCAGACCACCCAAAAAAAGTTGGTAAGGTCCCACCCCGCAACGAAGCACTGGTATGTAGGCAAGAAAGCGTCCTTGGCTGCCCCATTCCACCAAAATTTCTGTGAAGTGGCGTTGGTCTGTAATTCCCGACTACATTCAGGCTGCTGTAATCAAGTTGGCATCTTGAGCCCTAAGCCTAGTGTGAGCATACCTATGGCTGAAGTTGGCTGCAGCCTGAAAGAAGGCGCACATGTCGCTGAGCATATGCTCCACTCCTGCGCGGGCAACTGGAGTTTCTCAAAACAGAAGTACCCCAGGGACCCTAAGTGCATATATATATATATGTATGTATGTATATGTGTATATATGTATACATGTGTATATATATATATATTTATCTAGCGAATGTCAGGCATTGCTCTTCAGAAACCCTTGGCATGAAAGGGGCCATTTCTGTCAACTCCCAACTGGCGTGCAAGATATCGGCGTCGCAACTCCCAGAGCAGTCAACGTCACGTGTTTCCTTCACGTTTCCATAAGGCGACGGACTACCAGCAACAGCACGAATGAGAGTGGTCGTGTGGGGAAGAGGAGGAGTTGGAGGCAGGGATCTCTTTGCCTTGGAGCTGGGACGTGCACCCAACGAGCACAACACCCTGCACCCTAAATCTTCGGTGACACGCCTCCCAGCTGCCCCAGGAGCCATCGACGCACCCCACGCGACAGCCTGGGTCGGAAGCTATGGCGGGGTTCGCAACATAGGGAGGGTTCCTGAAATTAAGGTTTATACATATATATATATACATATATGTATGTAATGCAGGGCTTTTGGGTCAAGATTGCAAGAACCTGGGGATGCCCCTTAAGGACCATATCCGGATCAGTTCAGAGCTCCCAGCACGATCTCAGGTGTGCATATGGGACATGCTGTAATCGTAACTTCTCTCACGAGCCCTGTAGAAATCTTGAGGCGGTCTCCTCTGATGCCTTCGATAACATCTTAAAGGAACCTTATGCGGCTTCTGGCTTGCAGGCCTCAAGCCTTGAAGCACAAGTGTCTTGTCTTGTCTTCCTACCAGGGGTTCACACAACTTCTCCAGTATGTCCACTTGCACCACATTGAGTCATTCTTGTTTGCACGATTTTGCATTCAAGGGTGGAAACGCATTGGTGGAGTTCTCCTGCCTCACTGCCAGTGCACAACATGACTCCACATCAGTTGGCATGTTTTGCACAGGCAGCCAGAATTTTCCAGTGCATCTCAGCCAGCTTGCTAGGCAGCCTGCACTCTGAAGCGGACACCGAACTGCCCCACTTGGAACAACACGTGTGCTGCTGCTGCAACAGCACTGCCCTGGCCTTGCCTCCCTGCGAAAGCTTCTTCCATGTCGGAGGTAGGGGATGGCTTCTTACGCCAGACAAATGCAGCTTTCTGTTCATTGCAAGAGTGCGCGAGGCCGTGGAGTCTTCTTCTGGCGCCGGGCCGTCTTTCGGAGCCCTGCTATGCATAGATACCTCTACAGCAATATCCTCCAATTGAGGTTCTGGATATTGCCAGGAACGGAAACTTAAAACCTAGATCCGATCTAGTGAGCTTTACAACCCCAAGATCCTAAACGCTAAATACGCACAGCTGTTGGTGCATATAGTTTCTGGGATTCTGCGTGGCGAATTCCCCTGTGGCTCAGGGGATACTGCGGGTGAACGTTAAGCTTCATGGGCTAGGTTTTTGGCGTGCAAACCCAATAGACTCGACAGTAAACTTTCCCATAACCTGTAGCCTAAACGTACCTCACCCAAACCAGTGATCTAGAACCTGATCAACGTTGCTGTGTGCTCGTTCATTCTAGCTCATTTTAGCAAAGGGCTCACAAACCTCAGGACCTTGAACCATCAGAAGCCCTTTGCACAACACAAAACGACAACCCCTAGAAAAGCGAAACCCCAAGCCGTTTAGTGCCAGACTTTGATTGTTGCAGACAGCCAGCTCTGACGTGTCCTGCAAAGGCAAGGAAAAGAAGCTCAAACACGGTGGGTTTGCAGCACAGTGATCACAATGGTAGTGTCTCAAACGGGGAGTATCCTTGCAGACCCTATGGCCATATTTGGGGAACTTAGGAATCCTACTGCATGCAACTTCAGTGACCATGCGTCTAAACCCCCCAATACCCTCTTTTGAGAATCCGAAAAATGGTCTGCCTCACTTTCGTTTTTTTGAAATACAAAACACATATAATCACATATAGGAAATATGCTAGCGATGAAAAGGCCAACCTCATGTCATAGGACCAGGCTTCCATGAGAGGATGAACCGTCTATGAACAAGAGCGTGTCCAGAAGGAGTATATATCCTTAATAATGGCGCAAGGATTCAATGCCACATCATATATGCACTGTAAAGGCTGAACATACGCCTACCCCGTCAAACACGTGCTTTAGGGATTTCTCAGCACATGTATGAGTGTGTGGATCTGACAGCGTAAACCGCTTTATTTGGAAAGGCACTCGAACCGGAGAACGGGAGTTACATCATGCAGGCTGGTTGAATATCAGACAAATCGGCTCGCTGAACTTTCTCCGACGTTCTTCGCTGCGACTCTTTGGTGCGTGAAGCAGCCACTGCGACTGTCTTGAAGGTCTAACTAACTACTGGCTGCACCCCCTCACGGACAATCCCAACCTCTAGGGTTTAGGGTGTAAGGATGAGGGAGCAGGTTGTTGTATTGGCTAGGGCTGAGTAAAAGCTGTCTTAGGGCATACGCCACCCCGAGACCCCAACTGTGGCAAGACGACGACCCCAGCTACGGAAATCGGGCTGCGCTACTGAGGGGAGCGTGGAAGCTGTTCAGCGGAGGCGTTGGCCGAGCAAATGGCAGAGGCCTGGGTGAGCAAGTGGCTTAAATGTGGGATCCCTTTGCAGGATCTGAATGATCAAGGATCCTAGGTTTTCGAAGCCATGCTGGGTTTTTGGTGCAGCTTCCCTACGGGCCCACTTCCACTGGAAATGACAATTCATAAAATCATCGCTGAAGGCTGCTGTAGAGGCACCGGCACTGCTTGTCTCTATGAGCCAGCTGTATTCTACGCAAACGGGCTTAGGGTTCAGGATTCAAAGCTTGGGATTCAGGATTCAAGGTCGATTAAGGTCTCGGATTTTGTGCGAAGGGTTCAGGGCTCTCAAATTTGGGAGCTAAAGTCCTCACGAAAAAGCGAGTTACCATTCTCCGAGCTGGCATGGAAACTGACAAAACGCCCTAAAAAGACTACTGTCCCGTCACACGAAGCCAGTATGAAGTTTGAAAGCTGGTTTGGGAAAGGTTGAGAAAATAACTGGCCCCTGAGCTGGTCTGGACTACCTACCTTCTCACCCGACGCACAACCTGCGTCATGCTTACATCACTCCTGATCACCTGTGCTTTCAAGACTTAGTAGGGATACAAAACACCGTCTTGAACTCAGAACCGTTAACTCGACAGCCTAAACAGCCAAAACCATTCAAAGGCGAAAAATCGCCTTGAGCCATAAATCTGATGGATTCATTTTCGACTCAATGTATGCGCCCTTCTCCCCTCTTGCAAAAGCTTCATCCTTTGACCCTGAAACCCCACTTCTTCGCTAGATCAGGAGACCTACCTATCTTCATGGCCCATGTTTTCTCTCTAAAGCGATCCTCCAAACCCATGAACCCCTTGTTGCTTGAGCCTAGTCCGCCCAGCTGAAATCACTTCCCCTAAAGCGTTTTTAATCGGGACATCTCCAAATAAATCTCCATGATCCTTTTGCACTACCTATATACTCATAACATATCATAACTGTTACGCAAACCAAAAAACTCGCTTCCTGCATGTGTTTAATTTCCAGACCCCAATAACTGTTTCAGGGTCTCGCGGTGAGATTTTACAGGAAGGGAGGTTCTGGGACTGTTTAATGACAAAAGCCCACGGACTTATCTGAACCAGAACCTCTAAACCAGAACCCACAAACTGTAAACTCTCTAGCCCTACATCCCAAGCTACCAAATCCTAAACGCCAAACTTCCTAAACCCCGTCCCCAAAGACCCTTTTTCCGTAAGTTTCGGCTCTGCGGCTCGGTCGTTTGCCTAGGGCTCAGCGGCAGCAGGCCCGGTGGTGGCGCGAAGGATGTCGCGGCCACGGGCGCCGGCTCCTCAGCTTGGGGCTATACAAATTGAAAGCAAATTAGCATATGTGTATATGTATAATCCATACTTCTGTATGCTCATGACGGTACATGCGGGAAAAGAGGAGTGTATAGAGGTATGTAGGAAGCAAATATGATTGCCATACTTAGCTTTGTATTACAACAATACAACTACTAACCATTGCTACTGATGCGAGGTTCACGGAGAGGAAAGTGTGAGAGAGAGAGAGAGAGAGCGATAAAAAAAAGAAAAGAAAGAAAAGAGGTCAAACATGTACATTTGTATATGGAGCATGGGATCGGAAACCAGACAGCAGCTTTTTAAAAATGATCTCAATTTGCAACACACCTTCCGAAAGCCCAATGCCTGGCGGACATACTCGTTGAATATTTGGGAATGGGAGATGTTGTGAGGGGATTGTCGTACTTTGAATTCCTTAACCACAACTTATGCAGGTCCAATGTGCCAGATACTGGAGCACCTTCTTGCAGGACAGCGCGACAAAAAGCCGCGGGGCGCAAGTTAAGTACTACCAAACTTCTGTGGGTAGTAAAGGTTTACAACAGCCCCGAAAATGTGCATAATCATTGCGTTTTGGCTTCTGGGCCATAAATTTGTTGCCCGCAGGGCGGAGCGGTTGTTAATTTGACGGGGATCCTGATTTCAAGAATCCCTCTAAACCTTAATCCGAAGCCCTAAACCCATGTCCTCCTGATTTATGGGGCATTTATTCTTAGGGGGTAGGGGGGGGGCTGATTCTTAGGGGAAAGTGTTTATCAGGGAAAGGATTTGCAACTCAGGCGCAGCAGGAGGCGGGCTGTCCGAGGAGCGTATGGCATCATCCTCCTTGAGGCAAGTTTTGGGAATTTCTCAAGGTAGAGGTACCTTGGGGACCCGAAATCAAAGAAAATCCGCAGGCCTTGCCTGGGATCACCACTATAGTTTGGTCCGGAGCAGCTTGAGCATACAAGCTCGAAAATTGGAAGAACTTAATCGAAAAAGAGCCCTTTAGATCGTGAGCCGCAAGCCTGAACCCAAAACCCTAACCCACAACCCCTGCAAATCTTATATGTGAGAGTCCAAAACTTATCACAGTACTGCAATCCGATTGCAAGGGCTTCCACCAAGGGGCTACTGGGCGGAAACCGCACTAAAAAGCCCCGAGATCAAGTAAGGGCTTCCCACCTGGCGAGACTCCACCACGTCGCTTGCTGGAACGCCTTCCGGAAGCCGTACAACATACTGGTGATGCTAGCGGTGGCAATGGTGTCAGCTGTCGCCATGTGGTTGTGCTTAAGGACGAGGAGCACTAACAATAAAGCCGCCACCACCACCACCACCACCACCACCACCACCACCACCACCACTACTGGTCATGTTTGTAGTGGTAGTCAAACATTTCGTTGCTGGAGAGGTAGTCAAACGAGGAGATGGCAACTAGCTCCGACAGTCACAAGGTGGGAGTGGAGGCTTTCGCGTTCCAACTGGAGGATACAGGGCTTATTGCTGCTCCCAGATAGGATTTCGGAGCGTACGGCCTGCAATCTTGAACAAGGACAGACACACAACAGCAACGAAACAGCTCCAAGGCGCTAGAGACGGTACCCACGAACGAGGATGCATGTCAACCATGTTCAAGTTCCCAGGCTGCTCGATACGTTTTGAAGACTACTCCAGACTTCAACCCAGCCCCTAGGCAAGCTCTCCAAACACTCTGGCCAAAGTCCCAGCCTGTGTGACCCGCAGGAACGAACTCCGCAGCGTTGGCTCGGAAAGCAAAGGATGAACCTTGCTGCGAAGCTATGCGGTCGTAGTCGAAAAGGCTTGCGGAAATTGATCTGACGCTTTATGTTCTACTCCTCATGCTCTTCTGCTACTCGTAGTGCGCCACTACCACTGATACCGCTACTGCTTCTCTCTTCCTACTCCTCCTACTGCTCTTGCCTGCTCCTACTCATACTACTACTCCTTCTCCTACTCCTACTATTACTCCAACTTTTACTCCTACTACTACTCCTCCACCACCACCACCACCACCACCACCACCACAACTGCTGTACTAAACCTACGATGAAACCTACAACTTTATGTCTGCTCTCCTTCCCGCCATCGTATCAGACTATTGCTGAGTCTAACCTCAAACCTTGTGGCGGCGATGGATGTGTCACCAACAAGCAGCAAAACATCTGCAACAACTTTCTCGCCCTGCGTGCTCAACGCAAAACAGTACCCAGGGTCCCGCGATGCCTGACCTGGGGCGGCGGGGGGGAGGATCGCGCACCCTTTCCCGCTAGAGCCAACAGTGTCAGCAGAACGGAAGCCATGCGGAGGAGCACACGACACGCAACGTACAACCCAACAACACTCCGCCGGCGCAGCCCGACGTTCCAAACAACCCCCACCGGCAATCACGCCCTGCACGACCTCCTTACACACCTACCCCAACACCGAGCCTAGTGTGTTTTTTCATAGTGCACACTATACCTACGATGCAAGCGCATATTTCACGGGTGTGGCTCGCCGGATTCGAACCTCTATAGATCTCCTCATGGCATTCTCTAGTTGGCCGGTCAAATCGACTCAGCGCTGGTCTCCTAGGCCATGCAGGGCACGAGTGCGTACACCCTACACGGCTTTACAGTATGGCACACTGCCCCACACCTCCACATATCAACCGCTTTTGCCGGGTCTGCTGCTGCATGTTCCTCCAAGTACTGCGCATGTAGACTGATGCTCTTTGCAAAACGACACTAGAATCTAGAACACGCCTCTCTCCCAACTCCCCGAAAACGAGGAGCTCTCCGAACCCACGGGCACGCCGCCCGTGTGGTGCGGTACTGGGGGAGGAGGCGGCGCACGCACCTGGAGGAGGTCCGGGGCTCTGGGGATTGAACCCAATGTAGGGGATATATAAACCAATTCTTTGGGGTGCATTTTACAGGGTATGCTGGGATGTTAGATTTGGGATGTAACGATTCGTTCCTTGGTTTCAGATGCAAGGTCTAGGAGTCTAGCTGAGGTGTATTTACGGTATATGAGGTTGGGGTGGTGGCTTACCTGTGATCTTGTGATGGTTGTCCAAGGTTGTCTTGGGGCAATAGCAGCATTATTGTAGTCCCTACAGCGGGCTCAGTATTGGAGCTGAGGTTTTTTATTTTGGGGCTTTGGCAGGCGTGGTGGCCATTTCATACAAACTTTACTCCACTAGACCTTCTGCAGATTCCGTACAGAATAGAGGGTCCCCAAAACCGCTTTAGGATCAACCTTACCCAGGCCATGCAGCATTGCAGCAACACTAGGAGCCATGGCAAAAGTAGAGAAAAAGCTCCGGGATACCCTTAAGAACGTTGGGCATGTATAGGATTAGGAGAAATTGTGGGAGCTGAGGAAGTATGTAGGATATGTTTTGCGAATCTTCACACATGGATCCGATTCCGGGCTTCGCGGCAACATGACGTAAGGTCTCACGACGGTTAAGAGCCTTACGGCGAGGTACAGATTGCGATCATAAGGTTGAGGGTTTCAACGGATGATGGCCGGGTCTGGGAGCGCTGGTGGGTCTACGAACTCCGCGTAGGTGCAGGGCATGATGAGTATGATCTGGCCTCGCACTTAGAACGCAATCTAGGCGCTCCCATGCGCTCCCCAAGTAAAGCAACCCTGGTTGCGATAACTGTTGATGAACACTGCTACCAGCGATGGCAAGTCAACCCCCAGACCCTTCAAGTAAAACCTGAAAACTCACGGATGGGCGGTGGCATCATCCAGGAAAATCTACCAAGCAAGTGATATGACCTGCGAAACCTAAGCAAAAGCCCATGGGTTAAAGCTAATCGCAATACCTGAAAGCTCAGCCCAGCCACCTGGGTGTCTGACAAAAGTGGGGCCCCCTTGAACGCCCCAAGATATTTGGATGTTTTTGCAGGTACAACCCTGCATCCCAAGCCATCCTAAGAAGCCTTCTTTGGGATGGTAGAGATGTGCGGGGGTTGCATAGTCCCCAAAATGGATTATGTAGGAACCATTTCAGAGAAGCTCTCACCCTAAACTGCGAACCTGGGAATAATCCGTGAAACCCCCACCTGAGGAAACACCTCGCGGGGCGGCGGCGGTGGCGGCGGGATTTCAGCCTGGACCGAAGTGTTGAAATGCAAGTACGAGAAGTTAAGCTACGAAGAGGAGGGTGTGTGGGGGTTAAGCATCCCCCAGATGAAGAGGCACTCCTTTGGAAGCGTCTTCAGGTGGGAAAGGTTCACAGACATCTGATGAAAGTTTAAAGATAAGGGCCTCAAATCAAGGAGCCCAGTCAGCCAGGACTCTCCAACTAGCCTTCCACAGGGTGTCTTTGGATCCCATTTCTGATTATTTGGGTTGTAGTGGAAGTACTTGAGGGTCTGGGCAAACTTTTTCTCTGGGCCTCGGACTCGCTCTGCAAGGCTTTGGATTCAGGATTTTGCGTGTAGCGTTTAGGGTGTAAGATGCAAGATCCAGTGCTGGTTTACGGACGATTCGGGTTAAAGGCATTGGGTTCAGGATTTTGCGTGTAGCGTTTAGCGCGTAAGGTTCAGAATCTATACGGACGATTCGGAGTAGAGGTTCCTCATCATGACAAGAACAGCTTGCTCCGTAGATTTAAGTATAGAACCCGTCAAAATTTGGACTTTTACAAAAGAGCTCTGAAAGCATGCAGTAACTCTGAAAAACAAAGGGTTTAACCCTATAGTCCTCATGATGCCTCCGAAAGCCATTTGCGTTTCCGATGCGTACGATGCTAATGTGATCCCGGCAAACCCTCATCATAAGCGAACTACAACTTTGCAAACTATGACCCTGAAATCTCGAATTTCCAACCCACTCGAAAACGTTCTAAGCGCCTGCAAGCTAAAACCCTAAACCTGCGGCCTCCTCCATCTGCCAGGGCGGCCGATGCACTGGAGGCGCCCGGGGTTGCCTCGAAGAGAAGACTGAGAGTATGGCAATGGAAGCTTTTAGGGCCTGGGAGTTGACTCCAAGGCTTTGCGCCGTGTGTAGGTTTTGGAGTTTGAGCATTTTGGGGCTGGGACTGCGGGTCAAGGTTTACGTGAAAATGGAGGGTTTGGGAAATTGGGTTGGGGTTCACGTGTTGGGTAGCCTGTAATGTGAGCCTAGGCAGTTTTTGGACCAGAGATCTTCGTGATGGAGGGTTCTAGGGTCAACTCGCAGCTGATCCAGAAACAAGGAATACGTCTGGGCCGTTCTCAGAGCCTGAGAGTCAGCACCGCCCGCCTTCCTGTGACAGGTTTGGATTCTAGGGAGGCCTAGCAGACTCCTGTTGCAGAGCTTCGTGAGACCGATTTGGCCAGGAAAGATTCGCTTTCCAATGCAGACTCGAGAAACGCGTTATTCTCGTCTCCCAAACCACTGGAACAGGTGATATGCTGCGTGACTTCTCTTTCGGGCAACATTTAATTTCTAATCACACGTCTGCTTGCGTGCGTGCCTGTGTGTTTGTGTGTATGACCATACCAGTGGCTGCTGTACTGATTGCCTTGATTACAAGTTGCGCCCTACAGGCCTACATGCTACGCAACACCAAAACATGCCCCAAAACGTTTTATCAACTCCTCCAGGTGGCAAATCGTCACTGCGGAGCCATGTTTCGCAACGCAGCCTACCATCGGGAATATTCCTTGGCAGGCGCTGCTCAAACCCCTGACAGACGAACCTCAAGCCCGAAACACTATGGTGAAGGGTTTAGGGACACTCCTACACTTTGTGTAATCACAAACCCCAACCTTCCACCATGGATAAGCTCCCCGACAGGGCTCTATAAGGATCGCTCGAAGAAGGCAAATGATGTGTTGGGATAAAAGTTTTCTGAGGTCCCCTTTCTTTCTTTCTTTCGTACGGGCTATGGGAAGGCCGTTCCCTCCCCCGGGCTTCGCCGCCCAGCCCGTGTTGGGCATACTAGGTCCTACAGCACCCCTGGGCTCCAAAGGACGGTCGGCAAAGCATTATATTAACATGTTAGGAGCCCTTAAACAAAACAACAACAAGTGGTCCTTTGGGGAATGCATGGCTAGCCTCGGCAGAAACTGTCAAAAACATGCGTTGCCTGGAGGTGGTCTAAATTTGGATTGAATTAGGATTGGATTGAATTTGAGCCTTCTTGGTATGGTCTGTACGCAAAGATTTGTACGAATTACTGGAAGCGGTTTAAACGCGGATTGAGTGGATTGTGCAACGAATTTCCACCGATTTCGGGGTGGCTCAAGATAACTTGGACGGATTGAAGTGTGCATTTAATTTGTGCTACTCATCTGTTATGCGCCTTTGTTGTTCGCGTCAAAGGAGGACATGCTAAAGTCAGCTATTTTCCTCATTTGCCCGCTCCTAGGCTGTCGACATTCACGTCTATGGCATTGAAGGGTGCATTTGGCCTGGTGGTGGCCATTTTCCTGAAGTTTGAGGATTGCCTCAGCGGTGTCCTTGCCAGAGTCACGGTCCAGTAGGTGAACTTGTCCCTCGCCCAGCGTAGTTGGCGTGGAGAAGGAGCAAGGCGTGGTAGTGCAGGGTTGGGTCAAAGGCCTGTAGTGCAGCTCCAGACACTGTACTGGAGCGACCTCTGAATCGATCTTGGCCAGAGTGATCAGGGTGTACACGCGTAGTGGGTCAAACTTTCCCGGGATGATTATGTCTGGACCACAGGGACAAAGCGCAAGATCTTTCTCTACAGCCCGCTTGTCACTACAAGTGGGAGAAGGAGTGCTACCTCACGGGCTCACGGAGTGTGAACAGGGGGCTTGAAGTGGTAGTGGCTTGAGCCAAAATGGCTTGAGCCAAAATGGCTACTTCCCCTCCCTCTCTCCCTCTCTCTCTCGCTCGGATTACACAGCTATTTAGCTTCCCTTGGTTCTTCAGACGACGACCCTGCTCATCGATGGAGGAAATTTCTCCTCGCGGCTGGAAACTTTAAACTCCCAACCTAAAGTGTCAAAAACGCACTGAAAAATGCAAAAACCTCATCCACAAACCCAAGAAGGCTGAGCGAAACAACAGCATTTAAAACGCGAGCTGGGAAGCTAGACCTCAGGGAATGTAAACTCAGGTGCTTTTCCAATCTCCAAGGGGCCGCTCGTCCGGATGCCATCTGTCACCCAGCATCCCGTTGTCGCCCAGAATTCCAGCAGCGGGAACCGCTTCCCGCCTGTTCCTGGGGTCTGGGGCTTCGGAGGATTTTCGTGTACAGTTTTTGTCTGTGGAAGGCTGTATGAAAGCTGCTGAAGTTTTAAGCGGCTACGTCTATTTAAAACATATTTTACAGGCTCAATAGACCTGACCCTAGCACCGCGAGGTTCCGTGCTGCAGTTCTTGCAAGAACTCTGTAACATCTGTACAGAAAAATGCTCTGAAACTAATCCCATGAAGTTTTCGTAGTATTTCTTACCACTCCAGTGCACCACACGATCCCCAAACACCTTGCGCGCTTCCGATACGACCCTGAAACCTTCAGCTTGGCACCCCAACCCTTCAACCTCAACACCGCAAAAACCAATGCAAACCAACAAATCCTCACCCCACGCCCCCCCAAATCCCAACTTAAACCCAAACCTTTCATCCTTCAGCCTAAGTCCAGAACCCTGACCCACAGAGACTCCTCAAGTTCGTCAAGCACCCTCAAAAAGGACTCACCCTCCTTAAGAAACCAAAAAACGCTGGCTAAAAGACCTTACTACATGGGAGAAATCCTTCGAAGGATGGGCCCGGCAAGCCCCAAAGCCAAAGCCATGCGTACGATACAGGCATCACTATAAGGATCGAACCCCCACTCCCTTGAGCACCCATAGCACCCGCAAGCTGAGCGGCAGATCCTCGCGCCATGGAAAGGCCTGCGGGGCCTGCCTTTGCCCGAGAAGTGCAGTCATTTTATCGTATGCTCCTATTCGGGGCAGGGAGTTTCGGCTTTCGGCTTCAGAACTTTGGGGTAGCTTTAAGGGGAGTCATGAAGCGAGACTCTTGGAAAAGCGTGTAATTAATGGAGGTCCAGGTATTCTACAGAGCATACTTTGTACTGTATGAAATATCCACGCTCAACAACATTCCTAAAGGCCCCACGTACACCCTCTAAGACCCAACACTGTCCTAAGGGGCTCCAAGGAATGTATGAGAATTCATCGCATTTCAAGGAGTTGAGCAGAACTTATCAAGGGTTCGAGGGGGGTAAGCATTGTGAAGCAGGCATGGTTTTGCATGGATAACATGGATGACGTGCTGCATTAGGATGGGGATCTTGTGGAAGAAGCTTGCGTGTCAGCAACTCAGTAACTTTGAATTTTCAAGGGTTGCAAACTCTTGGGCATGATTGCTTCTCACTGTAATCACGGCTTTCGCTTTAGGGCTCAGAGCCACGAACCAGGGATAAAGCAGTCCTCAACCCCAAAAACTTGAGCCTCTAGGTGAATTGACACATCTGTGTCTTCTGAGGCCTCATGCCTGTCACACAGTCTACAACTCAAAAAGCCAAACATGGCATCCAAAACGTCGCTCCCTACATCCGTAAATGTTTACATCTGATCACAGGTCCGAAGCTCCCGTATAAGAACTCCAACCTCCTCTCACCTACTGTGCCTGTTGATGCCTAGATCTGGATTCATGGCATCTCCGTGCGATCTCATTGAGCCGACTTGACCGTCACTCCCGCAGGTATGGATCATTCGAGTGCCAAACAAGATTTTCAACTTCCTCTTTGATGCAACATGTTGAACCCAATATCGAAATCATCCACATGCTGAGAAGACCTTCCCGGCAAAACCTCACCAATGGGCTTGAATGAAGTTTCGACATAGCAATGCCTGGAATAAATTGCCTATGCCCAAGCGGCGCTCGAGCCTTTAGCATTGAAGATAAGATTGCGGCAGTTGAATGTAGAAGTAAACTGATGCAACCACATGTTTCGAAAGCTTTCTTCTGCCTGCCGTGAATTAACTCTGATAGAACATATGCCAGCTCGTGCATCTCTCGACCATGCCTGTGCCCTCACAATCCATTGTAAGGGCTCAATTCCAAAATCACTGAACATGTCACAAAGATGTCCACCTACGATGTGTTCCTCCAAGAGGCCGCAACTCGTGCAAGCGTGCCTGTCCCTGAGTTGGCAATCAGAATTAGGAGAGCTTCCCGGGAAATCTTCTCTGGGAGGGTTCACAACATGACAACTAACTATCGAACGTGTGCTTGCGGAAGTGTCCGCGCAAGTTGAAAAATCGCAGCGCACTGTCACAGCAAGAATGCGTGCGCGGTGTGCACCTGTTTGCTTGTTGTTGTTGGAACAGTTTGGTGCACAATGCGGAGGTGCCCAGGTGTAAGTCGGAACACTTTTCAACCAGCACGCTATGCTTGCGTGTCTGTCTTGACTGCGTTCTGTGCCAATGTGGGTGAAGCCTGCGAGTCGGATGCCTGATTGCGCCATGTCAGGGATTGACACAAACCCGAGCACGTAACCAACAGCAGAAACAGGTTGGGGTCCCGACGCCGCTGCCCTGAACCCTCATCCCAAGATAATACAGGTACCCTAGAAAGCGTGTGCCCAATGGCACCCGACGTAGTCAAATGGTATTTTCCAAAACCTTTGGATTAGTGGCGTACCTTGCTGAGTGGCAAAAACATGCTCCTCACCCCTGTGGCCTGCTAACATACCTTGAGCATTTGGGGATGAAGAAACATCCTTCAAACCTCTGGCACACTACAGCACATACCTTGAAATGCCCTACAAGCCTAAATAAAAGCACTGCTTCAACCCTTTTGCAATAAGATGTGTTTTGCACCAGTGTGGCGAGTGAGCCTGCACGAAAGAAAGATTTTCAAACCCTTTTACACCTGAAGCAGAGCTTCCTTGGACGAATGACGCAACGTGAGAGGGAGCCAACGCCCTAACGCATCTCTCACCACAAAATCCATGTTGCGAAATCGACCGTACATGTCTGCATATTCAGGTAATCGACACGCATGGACGGATGGACACCCAAGAGCTTCACCCCATAATTCCCCCCGAGTCCTACAGTAATCAGACACGCGCCATTCTGTGAGAGTCTGGTACCCGCTACCGCAGAAAGAAAGGACGCGACTTAGGAAAAAGAGGAATCAGTCGGGCAAAGCAGCCAAGACCTGAGTCAGGAAGAGGGAAGAGGTGAGTCGAGCAAACGGGAGGTGTGACGCAGGTACAGGTGCAAAAGCGTCGGAAGCCTGCAGGTCAGTACTTAAGACAAAGGAGAAGACATGGACGCGTGAGTAGGGAACAAACACCTGAGCAAAGGAGAATTCAGAAAGATCTATGGTGATGGTGTTGGTGTTGGTGTTGGTGTTGGTGTTGGTGTTGTCGTTGTCGTTGTCGTTGTCGTTGTCGTTGTTGTTGTCGTTGTCGTTGTCGTTGTCGTTGTGGTTGTTGTTGTGGTTGTTGTTGTTGTTGTTGTGGTTGTTGTTGTTGTGGTTGTTGTTGTTGTTGTTGTTGGTTGGTTGTTGTTGTTGTTGTTGTTGTTGTTGTTGTTGTTGTTGTTGTGGTTGTTGTTGTTGTTGTTGTCGTTGTGGTTGTTGTTGTTGTTGTTGTTGTTGTGGTTGTGGTTGTTGTTGTTGTTGTTGTTGTTGTTTGTTGCAGCAGCAGTAGCAGCAGCATCAAACCCAGCAGCAGCAACAGTAGTGATACCAATAATGCCAGCTAGGATTAAGCGAAGCGGAGCCGGGGTGGCCCTTTGTCATTTTCTAGGGATTCCCTTCGTCATTGTGCTCCGGTTCTGCGGGGTGAAGAGCTTCCACATGTGCCTGTACCTGCGTTGCCGGTCCTGCCAGTCGTTATTTCATGATGAAGCGAACAGAAGATCATTGAAGAATATGTCTGTACACTGTCTGCACTTGGGGTTCCCTTTGCAACTTTGTTCCTGACAGCCACCATGAAAACGGACATCTTGACAGGTGTGTTTTTCTTCTGGAATTGTCCTCTGTCACCTTGTTCCCGCGATCGCAAGACGAAATAGAATCATGTTCTGGATGTTCTTTTGTAACAGTGTTCATTCACTAAAAAACGAGAGCCGGCAGGGTGTTCCAGCATATGTCTGTACAGGGAGAGGCCTAGCTTGAAGAAACATCTCTAATCGCGATTCCCTTTGTAACCGCGTTCCTTGAAGTGCAGACCATAGAAAGGAGATTGATCCCGCATGTCCCTCTACCAGGCATGTCCTTCGTCATTTTTGTTGGAATTTCCGCAATTCCTCTAGTTCTAAGGCGAACCCGGGACTCGTTGCTTTGTCAGTTTCTTTTCCCTGGCGCGCAGGCTGTTTCCTGAATCGCAATCTTTTTATGGCTTTTGCCTTGCGTGTTCTTCGCTCAGGCTTTTCTTTGGTCTGTTTTCCTGAATCCTGCTACGCATCCAACGATCCCTTGTCCAAAAGTGCACCGTCAGTGAGAAGGGGTACACCCAAAAAATTGTTATGCTTCTAGAATTCGCGAGCACTCTGAATGCTGAGTCCCTTTTAGAACCCTCATAGTTACAGCCGCATTCCGTTGTGGGTACATATGCGGACCCTACAGTAGTGTCGAGAACTGTCGATGTAAGCCGGGCTAGGTAAACAAGTTCGGGATCCATTCTGATACAACCATCTCATGAATACAGGGATAATGTTCCTAACTATTCCAACTTCTAACCCTAATCCTGCTAAACCCAGAAACCAAAGTGTTTCAACGTTTGCCAGGCTCGCTCCAAGCCGTCGGTCTGATCTGCTTCTCTCTCCCAGCATCCCAGTTAAGCTTCCCATTACGGTACAGCATCCACAGTTGTTTGGCACCTTTTCTACACAAGTCTGGAAGACATATGACAAACCTCGAAGCGGAAAGACTTGTCCAAGCTGTCTGTCTGGTTGGATGCTCAGGTTGCATGATGAGATTCTAAGGGATGACAACCTGAACCCGACAACACCCGCCTGAATGAGATCATCCAGAAGTTTCTCTGCAGAATCCTCGGGTGTAGGGAGGGAGGCTCTGCTGAACTTGCCTATCATAAGCACAGGGTTTAAGATTCAAGTTCTATGCAAGGCAGAGCGTACAGCCTCTGGACCCTTGACTTTCGTCTTCACCAGCGGGAACCAATCATAGCTGATGAGAGCTTTAATCTCAGACTCCAAACCCCGGAAAGCCTACATGCAAACAGCAATACCTACATTGTAGGATTAGATGGGGACTACTGTAGAGATGCATGACCACGTTCCTTGCAAACCGCCATCAAAACTAAGAAGTACAGTTCAGTATGTGGTGCCCACGTGGCGCCTCAGGATAAACGTGCAGGAGATGGGTTGTGAAAACCAAGGCTTCTTTCTCGTCCCCATGATATAGAATGGAGCATTGAGGGTTTACGTCTGGAAAAATACCTATGTTGGAGTGCTTCAAGGTGGGGATGGCCAAGGATATCCCATATCTCCAAAGAGAATTGTCAAGTCTCCACACAGGAATGAATGGGGACCATGCTGAGAAATTTGCATCCGTACTGCAGGGTTGACCGGAAACCCTACACAACCCAGCTGCAAGCCCCCATCCCTTGTAGAACCATCTCCTGAAACTAGATTCGTGGGTCAGGGATCTCGGATTGCGGCTTTTCGCCGTTCAAGCAGCCTTCGGGGTTTGAAGCATGTTGAGCATGACGTTCTAGGAGTTTGTGGCTTCGTGTAGAGTTGCCATTTAGAAGCATTCCCAATCACCTCCGGGGTCTGGCACGAAATGCAGCATGTGATGTGCGACAGGCACCCTCTTTTTCGACCACTACCCTTTGACCAGAAACCCTAAACATTCCAAGGTAAATGGCCCCATAGTTCCATAATCATGTTACGGTCACTCTTCAAGAACTCCCTACATGCCCATGGCAAGCCCTGTCCAAGTGCGTCTGGGGGCTGGTTGCGTCAGATAGTTTCCCAGACCAAATCTTCGCAGCTTCAGCTGTATACCTTCTCGCACGACGCTCCTCAGAATGCATCTTATCAGGTGTTCGCCATTGGGGCAAAGGGTTTGGGGTTGAGGGTTTAGCCCACTCAAGGTTTCGGGAAAGGATTCAGACTAGGGTTTCCACCAGCGTACACCTACAGGGCCTGGTTCATGGTCCAGAGTCGACCTCAAGAAGCTTTCCAAAGGGCACCCAGTCTCAAAAAAAATCCAATGTTCTCAAGTAGATGTGCGAATATTTAGCAGCATTGTCCTGCATGGTTATAAGCCATGAATAAATCTAAACGATGCACCCCCGCACCCTAGTCTATCAACTTTGGCACCTGGGTTAAGCAACTCTGCCGAGGAACCCTCAGGCTGCAACCCTCCATGCCGGCCAAGCTAAACACACCGCATCAGAACATCACCTGACAATCCTGCCGTACCCACTCACATGTCATTTCACGCACTGCATGCCCTGCGAGACCCGGACTAGCCGCGCAACCATACAATCTACCGCATCCGTGTACGAATAGCCCTTGAAACCCCCAGCTAGGTCCTTAAGCCGGCACTCCAAACCTAGGTTGCGGGTGTAGGGCTTAGCTTGCAAGGCGGAAGCTTGGTTGGGACTACCTTCGCCCCACCACTTGTGGACGTCATGTCTTAAGAAACGCCAAACGAACAACAGAACCGAAGCCTTACTCTGCCCGATCACCGTCCAAACAGTGCTAGCCCTTATCTTGTGGCAAATGAAGGGCTCACCCTCAACCCTAAAACCCTGCGCCCCAACAGATCCAAAAACCCGGGTTGGCGACACAACGAAGCCGCGCCCCAAGCGTCTGTATAAATTGGCCGAGCTCATCATGACTTTGTAAGCAGCGTTCAAAGCCCCGGTCGCGCATTAGCCTTCCAGAGCGTTTGAATGTAGCGATTGCAGTTTGAGGGTTGGGGTGTAACGTATAAAGTAGCATGTCGCGAGGGGAGGGCTTAACGCAAAAAACTTTGGGAGTCAAGTTCGGGGATTGGCGGAAGAGTTCAGGTTGCGTTATGTGGACAACACCCTCTGAAAACCAAAAAAAAGTCACACGAGGACTGCCGTGCTTATGTAGAGTCTTTATGGGGTTCTATTCTAGCTTGGGAAAGGGCAGGCAGTGAACGGGATAGAGACATCCACTTCCTTCAACACAGTCTTATGATGCCAAACGCCAAACTCATATCGCTCTGTGAGGACCAGCACCACCAATCACGGAAAAGGTGCAAAAACGTCCAACACAAAACCCACAAGGACCTCAAGTCCCTCCATGACTCCCCTATCCGTCCCAAAAAATAAACCTAACCTAATTTGCGGAACCGTTCAGTGGTCCACCTCTTCACTTCGCTGACTGCGGGCTGTGTGTCCCTCGATTCGACAGATTCGAAAGCATTTGCACGAAGGGCTTGGTAAGCCGTAGCCAGCTGGTCCAAGACATGCCGCGGGTCGCTTCCCGACCTTGGATGTTTGAGGGTTTCGGTCAGAAGTAATGAGCCGCCTATGGCCCAGTGACAAGGGCTTTACGAATTTCAAGCTTAAGTTCGGGGATTAAAGCAGAGGCGGAGATGTTAAAAGAACGCATGAAAGTTTGGTGTTGTGTTGCCGCACTTGTTCAACGGCATGACGGTGGGCAAAGACCACAAAGACGAGCGCAGAATCCGGCGACCTGTGCCTTTCATCTCCACAACAAAACCCACCACAGAACGAACTACGTGTCTGCCACGTCAACATGTCCCGTGCTCATTTTGTCATTCTTCACTTTGGCGTTCGGTTCATACTGATATCTGATCCAAATTTCTAAACCTCCGCCTTTGGGCCTTTGGACCCTGTTGCCGCATTTACATCCCCTTCGTTCTTCTCCTCCGGAATCGAGGACCTCCACCTCGCATTGGAGCAAAGTCATGTCCTCCAAGAGGACAACGTGGCACTCGTCACGAACCCCACCTTCCTTTGCAGGAACTTTTGCCAGGCGGCTTCTTTGTGCAGACCCCGCCTTCAAAACTGCCAATCTCTGATGCCGCGACCACTCAATTTAGGAACATGCTGAGGCATCCATCAACATTTTGCTCAAATACCCCTTCCACGTGCGGCACCCCTTTGAGCATCCTTTGAGCATCCTGATGTAACTGGAAAGCTTCCACCATCTTGGCATCCAATGTCTACGTCAGTTGCCACACCGCAGGAACATCCCCAGTGTTGGACTGAAGTCCATGACAGTGCCAAAGTACCTGCGCAGAGCTAGAGCAACCGCATTTTTCTTTTGTCCGCTGCGACATAGCTTCCTGCATCACCCGACTTCCCAATCACGATAGTTACAGGGAGGCTGGCATGGGCTACTTCTTCCCTGTGATATGCCTCTTTTCTCTGCGTGCTTGCCTCCACACACTATCTTGGATAACCCTAACCCCTCGTCCCCCTAGAGCATCTGGAGCTCATCAAAAATGTGCGAGACACCAACGCACAATCTAGGAAGTCTGCAACGCACATGGCTGCAGCTGTGCACATTTGCCTGGTCTACCTCACCATCTCTTCATCCATATGAGCAGCTGGGCCTGCACTGGCCGCTGCAAAATCCTCCACCATAGACAGGCGTTCTGCACAAGACCTCCGTCAGTAGCCTTTCCATGCTCGGATAGGAGCGTGCTCTGAAAGAACACGCTTCTTGGCCTGTGGGCTTTTGCCTTGCCTCGACAGTTGTGGTTTGACTCTCGGATTACCTGTTAAGGTTTAGACTCAAGGATTCAGTGTTCAAGGTTTGCGCTGTATGCAGGGGCAGAATCCACCGTGTAGTCTGTAATGGTTGGACAATCAGTCCTTGCAAGACTGATTGTGGTTGAGGGGGAGTAAGGTCAGCACATCCACTGAAACCTTCTTTCCCTGCACACCTTTCGCGCTTGCCAGCGCGAAAGCTCTGATAGCACGCTGATTAGCAATGCTTGGCGCTTCATTGCATCCTGACTCTACGGCTCCAGGACAACGTGTCTAGGACTAAGGCTTTCAAGACTCGCATGCTGCGTGTGCCTCGCAACAAAGGGTTCCTGAATAGTTTTGCGTGTTGGACGTGTCTCGACTTGGTACATTCAGGATTGCCTCTAGCTTGACGAAGAGAAGCTTGTTGGGGAAGTAGTCAAAAATTTCAAAAGTAACACGTGGCACGTGACAACAACAAACCTAAAATTAAGCCTCGGGGCACCCCAGCCCTCTGGCTGCGCAAGCCAGGGAGCGAAGTACTCATGCCAACCAAACTAAATCCTAAACCCTGAGAAAGATCCTGAATCCAAAGCCGTAAATTCATAAACTCCGGACCAAGGCTCAGCATGTGATCGAGGTTGTGATCTTGCAGAACTCCCTGCTGCCAGGGAAGCCACTCATGCTGAAATCTCCTCGGATCGCAGGCTCTTGCTGCGTCAAAATGCCAAAGGATTGCTCTTGGTTCTGTGGGCTTAAGAGTATTCCTTTCTTGCAGAATTCTGTTCAAGAAGTTTGAAGGCTGAGGGTTTAGAGCTCAGGGTGTGGGATCCGAACTTGAAGACCCTGGGAGTAGTATGTTCGTCTTACATAGGACTTGAGCTGACTCAGGACATTAACTCTATACAGTGACGGGCTTGAGCTTCAACAGGGGTACAAGAATGATTTGTCAAGATTTCTGAGAGTTTCCAACAAGTCCTTGGCCTAAGATTTGCTTGAGGATGGAGGGCGCAGAGGTTCACCGCCAACCCAAGTGACCTTACAAGGTTTAGCCTTCAGAGAAGAATTGGCATCCCTTGAGCTTCTGATTGGACCAAAAGAAGGCTGTCATACGCAAGGAAACCTATCCAATGTCACCCTCGGAGACCTCTTGCTGCGAACAAAGTACAGGAGCCTCGAGAATTCAAAGAGGGTGTGGTATGGTCTGACTCGACGGGGAACATGAAGGAGAAACATCAGAAAGCACTGATAGTATGATGATACTGAATGCCTACATTTCCCAAGGTTGAAGGAACTTGGAGTCAGGGTGTTGTAGGATCGACCTTATTACCTCTGCAGTGCATCCATGGTTCGCCTCAATGTCCCGCAGTATACACCCGATCGACACCTCAAGTTTGTGGGGCTTAGGGTTTAGGAGCTGGATTGTCTTTCAGCGCTTAAGAGGTTGAGGCTTGCCCTAAACCCTAAACCCTAAACCCCTTTGGCTTAATTAAACCCTGGGTGCTTAGGGCAAGGACTTCCGGTTTGCGGGTCAGGGCTTGGCTTCTTTACTGGTGCCTAAAAATATTTGTGTAAGCGATTGTACAATGACTATTATAAGGATCCACTCCCCTACTCCCCCTTAAGCACTGTAAACTTCAGCTGCCAATCTAGCATCTTGATGTCCCCGAGCCAGCTTTTTATGAGGAAATGGGGGGTTGCCGACAATTTGATCCCTCTCTGGGTACTGGTATATATTGCGGGATAAATCACCAAATCGATTGCACCACATCTTCTGCACGAGGGTCTAGGCGAAACTCTACGCCATCTTTGACCAAACGGTCGGTGACAGGGAACTGCCAGTAAGAAGAACTTTGTAGGGATATGCGAGAATTACATAAGAATTGTAACAGTACTCTCAAGGATAGTAAAAGCACGAGTCTGAGAAATTACAAGTTGTTGCTGCTGTGGCGCTAGAACAAGGATGCCTCTGTGATATTATGCAACACATGAAGATGGCTCGATTTAGGGATTTGATTTCAGGCGGTCCCATGAACTTGCCGGGGCCTGCCTCAAATCAATTTTAGCATCCGTGACCCACCTTGCTCTCTGTCGAGTGCATTCCTGCTATTTCGGGGTCCTAGACTTTAAACCACCTAGAACCTTGGTTGATCAAGTTATTAGAACGAAAAAGAAAACATTTCCCAAAACGCAGACCCAAAAAACTTCATTGCGGCCACTCCCATTGCGGGCACTCCGCTGGAGCATCAAGTCATGCACCTTCACCTTGCAACAAGAGTCTCAGGCTTTAGAAAACAAAAATGACGGGGTCTGGGCACGGGTTTTCGGGATATCTCTGACTGCTGCTGTTGCTTCTGCGGGCAGCACTAAGTCTGCTGCTCCTACTGCTGCCGACCAGGAAAAGGAGCAGGACAACAAAAATCGGCTACGGCCCCACCCCTGTGCATGGAGGTGCTGCAGTGGCACGGATGATGACAAATTTCGTGAGTGATCATCATGATGATGGTGATGATAGTAATGATGGATGAAAGTGATAGATGATAGGTTGAGGATGATGGTGATCTGATGGTGATGACGGTGGTGATGGTGATGTGATGATGGTGATGATGGTAGTGATGGATGCAGGGATGACGGTGATGATGGTGATGATGGCGACGATGGTGATGATGGTGATGATGGTGATGATGGTGATGATGGCGATGATGGTGATGATCGTGATGATCGTGATGATCGTGATGATGGTCATGGTGGCGATGATGGCGATGGTGGTGATGGCGGTGATGACGATGGTGATGAAGAACAGGATGTGCATTGCAGAGATGGCAGTGAAGCAGATGTTAATATGTTGTTGACTGCGACATCGGCAGCAACCAGGGCCAGGATGACCAAGACAAGAAAACGACCAGCAAGACAAAAGTAAGGATGACCAGGACGAGGACGACCAAGACGAGAACAAGGATGACCACGACGAGGACGCGGACGACCAAGACCAAGACAAAAACAAAAACAACCAACACGAGGAAGAGGAGGACCAACACGGTTCTAAACATTTTGTGCTCTAGCCACCAGCATCAAGGGTGTCAACACGCAAGTTGCATACATTCACAAGTCCTACGCACTCCTGCTTGCACTCTACTCGCACACAACACACATGCACATCGTACCCTTCTTTTGGCGGTCAGGACATAACTAGGCAGCAATGACCAGTCGAGCGCTCAGCTGCCCGTTATGCACGAAACACCCTACGCATCACACGCGCGTTGCTATGACACCCGGCAACGCTTAGATCACAATGGCCCAGGGAGCGTGGGCCGGGCACACTTTGAGAATGCTTTCATGTCAGATAACGCTTGAGCTGCTGGTGGCTAGGGACAACACAGATTCAACACGCGGTAGTATAGGAAACCCAAAATGTTAAAACAGTTTGAGCAAGCACCATAACAAGGACAACCAAGACAAGGAAGAGGAGGAAGAAATCAACGTTATGACCACAATCACAACCACAACGACAACAACGACAATCTGGTCGCAAGCCTAGGCATCGAACATATAAAAACCCAAAGCCTGATCCCTACCCTCTCTGAAGCACTGGAATAATCATGCTCTACAAAGTGCACGAAAACATGATCGGAATCCACAGTGAAATCCAAGCCCAGTCACCATCACACTGCACATGCGGTGCAGCAGAGGCAACACCCCGCCCGCTTGCTCGATCAGCTTGCGAACCACTGCCCGGTCGCTAGGATCACCTGGGAGTGTCCCCAAACTATCTTGACTAAAGTTTTGCGGCCTCAGAGGGCTTGAGAAGCGGGTAGGGAGCATGTAGCTAGCTTTAAGGATTATGTATGTCTAAAATTCGAAATGGGAAGGTTGGGCTGAAAACGTAGAATCTTTAAAGAATTGATAGGGGTGCGTCAAAGGAGGAAATGTATGGCTATGCTACTTCCCATGTCCCAAAAAACTATACAAGCTTAGAAAACGCCTAAAGCCTCTACCCCAAATGCCCGGAACCCAAAACCCATAAGCCCGAAATTGGGAGGTCACTGTGAATCAACGCCATGTAGATGGCGTCTTCCCGCAGCGTCGTAGACAGCCTTGACACTGTCTCGCGGTTCAACTCCTGGATGCAGAAAACTTTGCACTGGTCCACACAACCTTTGAACTGCGGAATACCCAAAAAGCTATCTAGAAATTCTGCTATCTGGGTTCTCGGGATGTAGGATCCTGTTTGGGAATGGTGTCTTCGGCTGCATGCTCAAGACCAATCCAGCGAAGCCTAGTGCCCCTCGTCTATTGTTCGTTATGACATTTTGTATCATCACTAAAACTGCTGTGCGGTGTACGTGCATCACTGGCAGCACGATTCGTACTACAGCTATCTGAGGTTGTGCAGTTGTGTTTCAACTGCTGAGACGGGAATTTCTCAATGAGTCAAGGTGAGCGTAAATCCCCCGACAAAGGGGCATGTTCAATTCCCCCTAAACCCTATAAATCCCCTAAACCGCAAAAACCCTCAAGAACTAAACTCCTGTAAAGGCTGCAAATCCCTTAGCCCTGAAACCCCTGAGAGCAGACGGTTACTGCAACCACTAAACTAGAGACCTTGCGGCTATCATATGACTGTTATGAAATGCATTTACAAATTGGGGTTGCTTTTGTTTGCTGGTACTATGCAAAGCATGGAGGAATGCATGCCTACGGTAGCCTCCATTATTCCCTACAAACACCCAGCAGGTCCCTAAACGTTGAAATTTTACATGTCCCTGAAAACCTCTGGTTTGCATTTCATCTTGCGTTTGCTTTCGATTCGGATTTCCATCCCTACCTAAAACAATGTACACCCTAAACCCATCCCTGCTACTCACTGTGAAACCCTAAAACTCGCTGACCGCGTCCTCGCCCGACTCCCGCAGCATGGTCCGAAGCTGTCGCATCGCCTCAGAAACCAGCCTCATCTGGCCCTCCGTGTCTTCCTGTGTAAGTACTTTTGGTGTGTTAAGGGTTGTAATGGATTTCGGCAAATACTATGGGAGTGTAGACGGGATATGGGGTTTGGGGAGTGTGGGACGTTGGGTTTAAGGGATTTTGTATTTGGACAGCTTACAAAGTGTGCAGTGCGGGGGTTCAGTTTGGCCGGGATTTCCACGTCTTGTATGAATTTCTAATCTTGCTTTTGCCCTATACAACTGCTGTTTAGGCGGGCTTGAGGGTTTCAGGCTTCGTGGGCTTAGGGAATTTGACGCGATTTAAAGCTTTAGGCTTGGTGGATTTTGAAGATTTGGGGTTCAGGGGTTCAGGATTTGGGAATTGCCTCCACAACATTGGGATTAAGGTTTGCGCGTGTAAGGTGGTAGTCCCTTCCCACCATTTTTTCACTTTTATTTTGGCAATTTTAATTACCCATCTTACGGAGAATACATGCAAGAAATCCATGAAACCAGCATAACCACCACTACGGAATCCAACCGCAGAACTTAACGACGCGCAAGGCCATCGTACTAAGTACAACGCTCGACCAGAAAAAATTGCGGATCTAGCACGTCATCCTTTTGCCTGAACTGAACCCTCTCAACTGGGCCAAAATCCTGAACCCCAAACTTTTAATGCCAGCGCCTGCAGCCGAAAACTGAATGCGAGCACCAAAAAATGGCCAACATCCCCATAGGTTAAAATCCCTTGAGCCTTAAGCCCAAAAGGATTCTTCAAAAAAATCACCCGTGGATGTCTAAAAATTCGGCTACTGTAAGCATACACGCGCAAATACATCAGGCACAATAATTGTACTGCGTGGATCTGGTAATGTCATTGGCACAAGCTAACAAACACTAACTTGAACGCACACGGATAACTTAAACGGTTTTGACAAATGCGCAGACAGCACGCATGCAGAGGGGTGCATCAAAGCACCACCCACTGCAGCACATCCCCTGAAAGGTGCAGGCTGCGCATTGGGGAGGTGGGAGAGCAACATGAAAGAGCCCACCCGCAAGTAAAATCGCGAGCAAAATCTCCGCGTCGGCAAGAAATATGCAGCCATCAACTGATGCCAAGCACCAAGCACCAGGTAACTGACAATCAGTTATCTATAGAAGACCATGGATCCCCAGGATCACGCCCAAAGGCATACGCTGTGACAAGTGCATACGCAACATTCCCATGAACATTTATGGACGCGCGCTTGTCCGGGTCAAATCCATTCTCTGCTGAGGCCATCCGCCCAAACATTGCGACAACCGGCAATATGAGAGCGATGAAAAAACACCCCCAAGCCAGCCTGCAAAACGAAGTGCAAGGGTTCTTTACTTCAGGCTCCTTCACTGAGGGCATGCGGTAGCCGTCTGGACTCGCAGAATGAAAGGACGAGAACGAGGAGCCGTAGTCATACCAACTGCTTGGACGCCCGCAAGCGAACATTACATAAGCATGACTCCGAACGGCAAGGAGCTTCTTAAGGGAAGCGCTAGTGTCATCAAGTTCATCTTTTCCCCAACCATCATTCTGCGAGATGAACTCCCACTTTGAGATGAAGTCCCACGCGTCAGCAGGACCAGCCAACTTTTCTTCTCCCGCAAACGCACACTGCTAGCCTTGATGAAGATTGTACGCCACGCCGTCCATTCCCAAGCTCTGCTGTTAGATTGCGTTTTGATAGTCTGCAGGTGCTGAAGACCGGGAAGAGCCATCGGACGCACACCCACACCAGGTAAGTCATTCTCATACTTACTTCACCGCTATGGCCGCCCTGTCAGACCTTGAATTGGATGCATTGCCGGGTCCTGACGGAGCTGCTTCGCCCAACAAAGAATGGCAGTTTTGCAGCTGCGGAGTGAGAACAACCCAGCCTGCTCACGGGTCAAGCCTCCATACGCCTTACGTGACCCAACATTGCACAATAAGCGGTAGGCTTGCCACTGAAGGAAGCCAATAGAAAGTCTTGGCCCCTGCGCAAAGGCATCAGGCCCTTCAAAGAGGCTGCGCTCCAGTCAGAGTGGAGGCTTCCGAGCAAACACCTCCCAAAGCCATTCCGTGCACAGATGATTTCGTCCTGCTCGCTTGGACTGCTTCTCCAAACCACCAGGGGACTGTCAAGGAAATTTGTAGGCAGCAGAACCCATAGCGGAAAGAATGCTCACAGCAGAATGTCCTGTATGTTTTCCTCGATCATGTAGACCTCCATCGGAAAAGCCTTCCAGGAAATCCAGCAGCTGTCCAAGGTTGGGAGCTCCAGCCAGCCAGCTGACCGAAGCGCAAGATGACTTCCATGCACGCCAAACACATATATGTCGCCACAAAGTTGATGGAGCCCAATCACCAAAAATACAACACATGTGAGATGTGGTCACACCGCAGTTCGCTGCAAGACTTGAGCGATTCAGAGAAGCCAGACCACAGAGTCCCACAGAGCAGCATAGCAAGCTCGATCGACATTTTCTTGAACTCTTAAGGATTTTCATGTTTGAAGAAGATCATACTTGAGGGCACCGTCCGCGTTTGACGGTTCTTTGAATCCTCCTCAATAGCCAGCTTCCGTCAGCGAATAGGGGCTGACTCAAATCTTCAGCCCAGGGCGTCATATGCCACCTGTCGGAAAACACGCAGACTCACAAGCATGCTCCGGCGCTGGGAAGCCGCGCACTGGTCGTTCCGGCTCTGCATGGACCAATAAGGTCCGAGAACCTCTAGCAAAACAGACCAGGGAAACAGCTACAGTAAGAAAGCAATGTTGAACGGCACCGCCAGCGATGCCGCTGAAGAATTCACCTTGACGTCGATCAAGTCCTCGAGCTCATACATGCATAAACACATCACACGCAATAGTTGAGCTTTGAGGATCTGGTAGTGTTCGTTGCATGCACTGGCCTAAAACCCAGCCCACCCCAACACAAGCTAACCCATAAGGCCTTGGACCGTGACCCCAAACCTGAAAGCCTGAGCAGTTAGGACGGTGCCTCGTTTTCCATGAGGCCATATCTTCTAAGCTGTTGCCGCATGAAGCTTTCGTGGTCCTTGTGGGCATCTAAGGGTTTAAGGATTGTAGCGATTCTGTAAAGTAGCTGCGTCTAAAGAATGCAGGGGCTGGGGTTTAAGCGAAGTCTTGGAGGCCAAGATTTTAAGGTTAAAGGTTGCAGCATATTACCAACTAAAACCAGTGTTCTCCGCTATCATAGGTGCAAGACACTATGGGATATTACCCAGACCTAGCTTGGAGTGTTCCCCACCTAGGGACAAGGACTCTAGCCCGGTGCTTGGAAAAGGGCTTTGTGGGGACTGCGGGGCCGCTGCAGGCTTCCCAGCCCTGAAGTTTAGGCCAAAAAACCCTAAGCTCTAGACAGCATAGTAATTTCCATGGCGGCTTCCCTTCCTGAACCCTGAATTTTGTGCAAAGCCGCACCTGCTCACGGGCCTCGACCTCAGAGCCCGCAAGCCAGGGCTGTCTGTTTTCAACCTCTTGGGCGGGGGTCTGAGGGCATGGAGTTAAGAGTTGGCTTAAAGCGGGGTTTAGGGCTTGGGGCTTTGGGTTTAGGATCCAGAGTTCAATCGCTTTGCGGGAGTTATCTGAAGCCTAGAGCAGCGGGCTGGTAGAAACCAACTATCATGAGGCCTTGAGGGACCCTGGGGATACAAGAGGGCTTCAGGGGATTACCATATACTGGGGATCCCAAAGTTTCAGGGTTCTATTAGGAGCCTTTGAGAAAATCCCATATGGCGTTTCTCCAAACTGTGGTCTCTTTCTGGGGGTCCCTTCGGCTATCGCTTTGCAGGCAAATTGAATTGCAACCTCATCCACACAGCTGAAACCGTCTGCTGAAGTTGAGCGGTTCGGTTCTATTCTGTCTAAGCTGCCCTTCCCCAAACCTTTCCCCAAACTTGGTCTCAACTCCTGCGTGTGGCTTGGCGTTGAGGTCTTGCGCTTTCAGCTTTAGGGCCAGTACGGGGAAAGGAATTCATTCTGGGGGAGGGGTCTTTAGGTTTAGGGCTTCGCAAGCAGAGACAGGTCACTGGACATGGATTGTTTGGGCGTTTGGGAGCGCTTTTGGGAAGGCTTGCGGGCATAGATGCTCTTGAGGCTTCTAACGCAGGATCTATGGTGGGATATGCGGTTGTATGCGAAAATTAAAAAAAACTCAATCCTAAACCCAAGTCCCAAACTTCCTTCCTAAGTAACTTCCAAACAATGTTTTGCATGCCCATGTAGACCACCTTGTGTGTACAATTTCTGGTACAAATACTTTCATGCAGGAGCCTAGATTGGTGGCAACTCTCAAACCATCAACAATGGCTGCAAGCCTCGGGCTCTAGGTTCACCGGGCCAGCTTCACTTGACTGCTCATCGTCCTGGTGTTCAAGAGGATGGCGTGGGCTGTATGCTGGCATGATTTTTGACTTAGGGGTTCGACGCCTGGCCTCAGAGCTGCACCTCAGGGTTGAAATGCCTGCGCGCCCTAGCAAAATACTAAGTGCATGCGTCAAACACTCACGCGTACTGCTGCTATTTTCTGTTTGCGTGCGGCGGATGGCAGCCCATCTCTTGTGTAGAGCTACAGCCAGCTTCTTAGAACCTGAGTGGTTCCGCATGCCCTAAAAGCGTCTTGCTGAGCGTGTGGGGGGGGGGTATCTGCGAATTCTAGGGCGCCCTGTAGCATTAACGGTCCATAGGTCCAGGTCGAAAGCTCAAGGCTTTGAGTCTCAGGGTTTAGCCGCTGGCTTCACGTGCTACAGACAGAGACAGGGACTTAGAACCACTTACGAACCTATGCCTGCATAGAACTACTGTATGTAGCACTGTATGTCTCTGTAAACAGTGACAACACTTTTCATCTGGCCGGCCACCCCTAAACCCGCAACCTTAAGAACTGTGGTCAACTACGCGGTTTCCTCTCAAACTCGTGTCAGGACGCAAGCTTTTCGCTTCGGACTCCATTTTGCGCAGCAAAAACAAATGACATGATCTCTGTAAGCCTTTGGAACAAAT